AACATAATTTGCACTAGAGCTAGTTATGCACAGAGCTGTTTCAATTTTTGCTTGCATAGGATTGATAGTGATGGTATCATTAAAGTAGCTGATTTTGGCCTATCAGAAGATATATATGATCAAAACTACTTCAGACAGCTGAAAGATTCCTCATCAACCATCAAACTACCATTGAAATGGATGGCAATAGAAAGTATTCATGATGGACTCTTCTCTGAAAAATCCGATGTGGTCAGTAGCAATTATGATCTAGATAATTCTAGATCTAGTTCCAATTTACTCGTTCTCTGTATAGTGGTCTTATGGTGTATTGTGCTGGGAAGTGTTCAATCTTGGTAGGGTACCTTATCCTGGTCTAGATCCAGTAGGAGTAGTGGAGTTACTGGATGCTGGAGGAAGACTGCAGAATCCAAATAATGAAGCATGCTCACAAAAAATGTAATAATTTAATCATTATATATTGTTATTGTTTATTGATGCTTTCAATTTTTATGCTTTCTCCGTTATACATGCAGCTACTCACTAATGATGTCATGTTGGTCTGAATCACCTGATGATAGGCCAGTGTTCAGTGATTTGGTATCATCAATCAATGCACTCATTGGACCATTGGCTGACTATGTATCTGGACTGCACTAACTTTATACAATATTTGTCTACATGAAGCTTTGCAGAAAATATAACTTTTTTAATCATTTGCCTTATGGATTAAGAAAATATCTGATTTTTGCCACATTTTTTAGATCAAATTTCAAAATAGAATAATATTGCAAGGCTATACAACTCACATATAAAAAAGAGCCAACAAGACAATATTCATTATTTGTTTTAAAGATGCTCAAAAATCTTATTCGAGACCATGTACTATGGTACACTGTCTCTGGCTAAATTTCATCAAAGAAGAGGATTCTTCACTTTTATAATTATTTTTGATATGCATGTTTTGATGTTGTTTGGAGCTGATTCAGATTAAAATTAAATTTTTTTACAAATGTTAAAAATTTTTCCAAAAACATCCACTGCTTGACTGCTTATAAGTTCATGAAGTGTGCTGTTCCACTTACTTTGTGCGAAACCCCTGTGACAAAAATGTTAACTAGTATTTTTATAGCATATGAATTGCCCCTTTTAAAAGCAAGCCATGTTTGTGTTTCAAGCAAAATAGTATTTTTAATTGAAATTTCTTTATCATGGCATAATTGTAATTCTAGTTGAGTATGTTTTTACAAAAGGAGTGTGATTATATATGAAATTGTAGACTATGTGTACCAGTAATTGTAATTGAGATTTTGTATAATTGACCCAAGGTCTGATCAAAACTATTATTTTATTTTTATTACTAAAATTTACTTTTTCAGTCTTATCTTATAGTAGTGAGCCAGTAGTAATGACATTTGTAACAAAGACAGATCAAGGTGATCAAATGGTTTAACTGGAACTAGATTCACTCATTCTCAGACAGATTTGGTAAGCACAGAAAGTACATGTACATAAGTTACTTGTCGTGTAATCAGGTTTGCATGTAATTGAATACATATTGATGCTCGTATGCTACATGTACATAGAATGTATGTTATAACAATTTTTTAGCTACATGGCTACTATAGACTAAGTATATTTGCCAATTTTATGCCCTTTAGACTACCTCTTTCAGTGGCATAGGCAGGATTTTTTGAAAGAGGGGGCAGGTTCTTTAGTGTGTAAAGTGTGCCACAAAAATTTTACCAATCCATGGCTTTTCATGCTTAATTAGTGCTTAACCATTCTCATCATGTCAAACAATAATACAGTAGGCAATGTTAAATATTTTATAGTTTTAGTAACAGCATCATAGATGGACATACAGGTACACAGAAATACTGAAAGACTTTTCAAGAAACTTTTATTTATTTCAAGGGAAATTTTTACTCTACATCTGTGCTCTTGTTTTGTTTTTGTTTTTGGTTTTGGTTGTAATAATGATTACAATAATAATAGTGACAATTTCATGGACTTCTCCTCATATTATTTTGTGCTAAAATAAGGCTAAGGCTGCTTCCTGCCAATTATTATAGACCAGGAATGGGTTTACACATGTATGTACATATACTCTTAATGTTCTTGGCAGTGGGGGATTGGCTCCCTAAACCCTCTAGCTCACTCACTTGGCAGTCCAAAATATTATATCTTTTAGTTTGTCTGTCCTGGCATGATTTGTGTTTGCACATTTGCGTCTTTTACCTTCTGTATATACATGTACGTACATGTGCTTGTGTATGTATTATGGTTGATAACATGTCAAATTAGACTTTGCTTTATTCACTTGCTTTAATTCTTATTGTATGAGGCATAAAATTTTAAATTCTCTTGCTTTGTTTTTAATATTACTGTGTCAATTTGGACTCTGTATAAGTGATGACTCATGCTTACTGATTTATGGCCCATTAAAATTGCAACTTATTAATGATTGTATTACACACTTAAGGCTAATTCACACTTGAAACTTAAGCTATGGTAAGGCATTAAGTTTAGACAATAAGTGTTGTATAAACCAATGGCCAGAGTTAAATTAATTATTAAAGTAACTATAGCCAGGAATGATCTCCATGCTTAAGTTAAGTTAACTCTGACCATTGGTTCGTATTGCACTTTTGTCTTCCCATGAAGTTTCAAGTGAATCTGTCCTTATTAAGAATCAGTGCTTGTAAGCAAACAAATTGATTCTTAATTTTTTGAAAGAATTAATAGCTGATGCTAATTGAAAAAAGAATAATTACATGATGTAGTGATATCACAAAAATCAACAGCTAAATCAAAATTTACAATCCATAGAATTTAAGATAAGAGATAAAGGTTGATTGTTTGATTTACCTAGAAAAGAGTTCCAAAGTCTAATGGTAGATGGAAAGAAGGAGAGGTGATAGGAGGAGGTATGAAAGAATGGGACAATTATTAGGGCAATAGTGACAGAGAGACATTGGTGCCCCTTTAATTGTCCCATTCTGTTCTATTGCCTCTCCTTTCTTTCATCTACCATTAGACTTTGAACTAATTACCGAACAGTAGTAATGATATCACATCATAATAACTTTTATGTTAGATCAAAGTTCATTTTCTATATGCATTGTATACTATACTAGAGTAGTAATTTGAGTTGTATTGCCAATTCATAAAAATCAACCTACTCTGATTCAAAGGGCAGCATTGCCAAGATAAATACTAGCAAAAAGCTCTACTACACCATATACATTATGCAAGGAGAGATGTCTATGATTTTTGTTTTGTTTGCTGTTTTGCCCCTTCTCCATCTTCTCACTTTTCCTGTTTCATCTCAGTCTGACTGCTCTCTACCCTTCCAGTCAAATATAACTCA